ACTCCTAATTTTATAGCCTCGGCAAAAGAATATCTATCTTACACCATCTGAATATAAATTGCACTTTTAACTGTATAAGGAAGCCTGTTGTCTATAAAACTTGAATCTGTTGGCTGGACAACAAACTCCATGAGTTCCTCCTCTTTTTAGCCAAAAGCAAAGGTAGTGTTAGTGGGGAGACATCCCAAGGTCAGCCAGCCTTGCTGTGAAGCTTCGGGATCCAGCTGAGGATTTCACCAAGCCTGACTGAGACTGGCTGTATGAGGACACAGACCTGTACTGTCTTGCTTTGTGTGGGAAACTCCAATGAAAGTTGGGTCAAAAAGAATACCGGAGGATGTGAATTGACTCAGGCAAATTGGAACATGTGGTTAGGAAAAGGTAAAAAAACCTCCTCAGTTGAGCATATATATAGTACAGTGGAAACCACTTCCTGTCCCCAAGGATGTGCTCTGTGTGTCCTGCAGTACCATTCTGTGCTTCACTCCAGCACAGAAACCAGAAATCTCCGTGGGTGTCTGTTCTTTCAGCAATCGTAAATCCTCTTGCCACTCTGAGAGAAAAGAACAGCTTGTGTGGAGCAGCGTGGGGTCTGTACAGGGCTGGGAAGGATGATTGCTGATTGCCACATTGTGTTTTGCAGCTATTGTCCAAGGAGACACACTGGAAGAAATCTACAACCAAGTGAAACAGATCATAGAGGAACAGTCTGGTCCTTACATCTGGGTTCCAGCAAAGGAAAAATTATGAAAACAGATTTTTATTTTTCATTTTCTAACTGACATCACCTACTACATCTGACGACTCTTAAGCCCTTCCAGTGGAGCCTGCCTCTAGTTCTCTCCAGCGTGGTTCATACCCTAACCATCACATTCTGCAGTTCCCATAATGCTTTACATTTGGTGTCTCTCTTAGTTTAAATAATTTGTATTATTGTGTGTTGTTGGTTTGCCATTTTTCAAACATGACAGTGGAATGGCCTGACCAGCTATTAGTTTAGGGTGGGGGTGGGAGGGAATTGCTTGGTAAAATTCCTTAATGTTTAAGGGAAAGTAACTTTCAAAGATTTTTCAAAAAAGCTTTATAGACATTCTTTTAAAATTTCATAACAATTGAAAGAAAAGTTGTATTCAAGGAAGTTGTAAATTATGAGTAACTTTGCACGCTTAACTTTAATAGCATGGTTTGGTCAGGGCAATCAATTTCAGGTTTTATTTTCTGAGTTCAATTCTATTCTCACAGTATCTTTTTTTTCTTTCCAGGCAGTTAGAGAGAAACTTTCCAATTTTGAGTTCACATTTTCATTAAGTCCCATTAATAGTCCTCAAAGGGATATTCATTTTCATAATTTCATATGGATATTCTTATAATCTATTTTTTCATTTTTTGCCAATGAAATTGCTAGGGACAAAGATGTGTAATGTTTTTAATCTTCCTCGTGAAACACTATTTATAGTGTATTACAGAAATTCTTTATAGATAATGGTCATCACACTTTTTGAGCCTAAAATATGTTTAGGTGCTACGAAACCTTGTATTTTTCAGAGGAATGCCAAATTTCCATTGGCAGTAATACAGAAAACAGCTGCAGAGATGGTCATTAGGGCAATGAGAGAATGATTCATAGCCTAAAAATGTGTGTGTTCTTAGGGGTCAGATTTTAATGAATATTTTACCCACAATAACTGCCTATTTTGTTATAATAAATATATATATATTAAACTTTCTTTAACTAAACTCTGTAACTATGGGAATTATTTTCTTTACATAGTTGCGCACACGTATAAATATATATATATAAAATATATATTTTTCTTTTACCACCTACTCCTAGCTTTTTGTTTTAAATAAAAAAAAAGAACAAATTAGAATTTACCTTCCTTAATCACAAAAAAAAAAGAAATGGGCTATGATGGCTGGGCATGAAGTCCAGGGAATATTAGTACAAGAAAAAAATACATGCAAGTTCTCCTCTTTTCTACAGAATTTCGGGTGTTTGTCTTCCCCTGCCCCCTTTGTAATATGCATGTCTTAACCAAAGGGAGAATTCAGAGACAACAATACCTTTTATTTTTCTGTACGTATTCAGCTCGGATTGCACAGGCACAAGATCTTCCATTTGCGATGCACAAAAGTTCTGTGCTGAATGTTATAAATACCTTGTACCAAAACCTTCAGTAATGAAATTCTCTAATTCCCATATTATTTGGTACCTGCCATTGCTTGTTTGCAACTGATTGTTTATAAGAGGGATGTACTTATGGCAGTCGTGGGGCAGCCCCACAACCAAATCAGCTTTGGTTTGTAAAGAATTATCAACACTATCCATTCCATTTGTTAGAAAGAGGAGAACAGCTAATAAACTTTATTGTACAATATATTTGTCAAGTGTGTTTTTAATTAAAAGAACTGCAGGTGTTGTAGCATTTTAAATTAATTGACTCAGACTGTGAATGAAAATAATGTGTTAGAGGAACACCAGTGACCAGACTGGGGCTGGTGAAGTTACTGCATTGAAAGCAGGTTTAAACTTGTGATGCAATTATTGCTGGTGTTATATGGAATGCTAATGAGGCTTGCAGGAAGTCTAAGCTGTGGGTGCACAGCCCAAAATAGTTTGTTTTGCAAGATTTGGGAAGTTAGGTGGGCTGTCTTTCTGAGACTTCCTGTCTATGAAAGTGCAGTGTGTACTGGATTGATGGAGCTTTTGATGAATCATGTCATAAATTTTTAAGGGAGCTAAACATGTACTGTAGTCTCCCTCTTCGAAAGGGACTATTTGAGATGTCTAGTGAGACATCTGAAATGACCTACTCTAAAAAAGTAGAAATATATAAATCTCTGGTATCAAATCTGCAAATGCATCTGACATCTCTATATTGTGTACACTTTTTTTTGCCTCATTTTTTAACCCCTCAGAAAGAGTCCCGTTCAGCTGAGTAGATCTGTGAGGAATTGCTCTTTCACATATTGGAGTGTCTGAGTAGCTTTCACAGAGCTTTACCCCAGGCACTTGTCATACACTGGCCAGGTATCACCAAATACTCCACTCAGACTGAAGTCCACAGTAATTTCCTTGCACAGTTGTCATGCTGGAGTCATGCTGGAGTGAAAACAAGTCTTTGATCAAGAAAATCTAAATGGCTCTGATGTGTTTTCTTTGCATGTTTGGTTTTGTTTGTTTCTGATCTTGTTCTTGAGCCCTGTCAGAAAAGTTGATTCTGACAGCCCTGATGCTCCTAGTTGTCTGGTTTTATCTTGTAATTGTTGGGATTTTGCATTATTTAGTGTTTCTCTGGCTCTCATCTTTCCAGTATCAGGTGGATATGTATTTGATTCTTGGGTACACTTTCTGCATTTTAAAGATACATTTTACAATACCTACACTTCTCTTAAGCCTTCCACAACTAGAATAATTGGGAAATCCAAATGGCATCGTACTGATGCATTACCACCCTTCTCCTGGCCCAGGGAAGGCACCATGAGTTTTCTTCTTGCCTGCTAACCCAGCTGGTTATAATTGCTATACAGACACATGCCTGATGAAATATTTGTTACTCTCTATTAATATTGTAAGTTATACTAATTATTTCCTCATGAGCATTTTTTTCTAAATTGTGCTGAAAATTAGGTTAAGAAATTTAATATCTCCTTAGAGCACAGATATTCATAGAGTTAAGAATAAAATAGGGAAATTATTGAAATTCTCATGAATTGTGCTTGTGTGATTGTTTAGAGGGGGCTACATTCAGAATAGGGCACCTGCCTTCTGAACCTTTCCTGTAGAGGATCAGAAGAACCACAGGAGAGCCCTGCTACCAAATTCATGTCTTATTAATCCAGCCCTTGCAGTCTTAAGCAACTGGTGCTGGGACTGTGCATCAGTCTTGTCATCTGTATACAAATGTAAGCCCCACTGCAAGCATCACGGAGGGCTTCAGATGTTAATCTGTGGGAAGGATGCAAATAATGCATCCTTCAAGAAATTTGGAAGGGCTCCAGTTTAGCATTTTAGACAACACAGGGATGATTAATTCCAGAGGCAGCTATAAGGTTTTATTTGGGAAGGAGATCTGGAGGGATCATGATTTTTTTTTTTAAGTTCTTAACTTGAAATAGCAATTAATTGACTCAGCTGTTGTCTTAACAGTTGCTAGTAAGTGTTAAAGCATCCTGGCCAAATTGCAGTCAGATAGCTGAGTAGCTAACTGCTGGAGGCATCCATGCCACACTCCTGGCTGTACAGGCTGTGTGGGATGCACACAGCTCTCGGTGTGGGTGAGGAGTCACGGCAGGACACAGCCATTCTGTTGCTGAGTGCTGAGCTGAGCAGTGGCAGTCAGCAGAGCAAAGCAGCACTCAATGGCTTTTATCTAAACCAAGTGTGTTACAGGCAGCTCCAGTTCATTGACTAATGAGACATGAAGAAAAGGGCAGCACAAACGAGTGTTGCTCTGTGAAAGCTATGCTAAAATTCACAGCAGCTTTTAACAGAGCTATTGTCAGCAAAGTTTTTACTTTTTCTGGGCCTTCTCTAAAACCTTTTAAAAAATCAGAATACTTCGGCTGTTTTATAGCACTTGCTATTAAGTTTCAGGAAATGTGTTCTTAGCATGTGCTGTACCACCTGTAGAGTGTATGGGCTTTGCTGTTGTAAAAGCCTGGGTTTCTGGTTATAGCTTTATGAAATGACAGTGCTGAGAATGCGGCATAAAGTGACCATCCTCTCAGTCAGATAAAGTGCTTACCTTGAATCTCCTCCTGCTTCCTGAGCCCCATGAGTAGGGAATACACAAAACTCAAAGTGAGGATTTGGTTCCACAGCCCTGCCTCACCTCTGTGTGCAGGAGTGTGGCTGTTTATCAAAGTCCGTGGGTGGTGCCAAAGCAGTAACAACCTCATTGGTGCCTTCGATATTTTGCAATTTGCAGGTCTGATTATTTTTTTTTTTTGCTAGTGTAGAGACAGTGTGAGGAGAGCATGCTTTCTTTTCCAGTAGTCATTACGAGGTGACGTGTACCAAGGTAAGCAGGATAAATTGCTGAACAAAGTGCATCTGCAATTGAATGCTGCTGATTTTCACCTAAGACCAGGCTGGAGAGAGCACACTTGCAGAAGCCTTGATCTCTTGGGGTTCTGATGGCTGGAAAAATCACAGATCCTAAAATTTTCACCATGAAGAGCTCCAGAAATGTCTTCTATCTCCTCTTCTTTCATGCTGGTAAGTGTCCTTCAAAAACTTTGGCTGTAGCATGATGTCTCGGGTTCACCTCTGTGTGATGTGAGAGAGCAGAAGAAAACTAGAACCACTTCAAAACCAATCTTATATGGCCAGGAAAATAAATAGAAGGAAATAATAGAAAAGGAGTAGAAAAGATACCATTGACTCATTGGTATCAAATGTTGTATTCCCTAAGGACTGAATCCACTTCTGGTGCAGTAGTGTCTGTTTCTCACAACAGTAAGAAACTTACTTTGTAAAAATAGAAATAATTGCTTTATTTCACTTATACTCTGTGCAACATGTTGGCTTTCCCCTGTCACTCCCAAATTCTAATGGTGAATGCTTTTAAATTCAGAGAGGCAAAATTGTGAATAAACTTGGGTTCAGAGACTGACCTGCTGTTTTATGATAGGAAGAGAGAGTAACTGCAGGCCTTGTCTGCACTCAAGCCCACTGCAGCTGGGTTAACTTGTAAATAAGGAGCCAGGACATTGCCCAGATCTGGCTTTCCTGTAACAACAAAGGTCAGCAGTTTGGAAAGGGACAAATAATTACCTGTTTTTGATGAGTGAGGGAAAAAATCAACAGATTAATACTGTTTCACTATTTTGGCTGAAACACAGAGCCAAATGAGCTTTATTTCATGTTTCAGGTGTGTATGGCTAATGATTTCTTCATAGAGTTCATGCTTCACCTCCTGTGTGTGTATATCTAAAACCAGAATGCTGAGGCTGAAGAATGGCACTTGGCAAATTTTACACACTGAGATGCTGACACCCCAATTTAATTTCTGTTGGCTTGTGTTTATGAAAAGAAAACCCAAACCCCTTTATCAATGAAAACTGGGGTTCTTCTTTCAGCCCCAAGAAATTAATGGTGAAAATTTCACCCAGGCAGATGAGGTACAGATTAAGTTTCTGTGAGGTGTGTTTTTATGATGACCCTGTCATGCCTTTCTTCTGACCATCTCTTGTTTCTCAGAACTCCTGCAACTCAGAGGTGGGTAATTGTTTCTCCCTCTACTAGCACATGCTGCCATTAAAACTTGTAAGTTTTCCAAGTCTGACTTAATGTTTGTTGACAGCAGTAGAGTTAGCTCCCTGTTGCAGTGGAACAACAAGCCAAAACCGCTGTTTCAGTGTCGGGTTTTTTGGCATCAACAATCTTGTTTAGTCTGCAGCCACCCAGTCAGAGAACGTGCGTGGGAGCACTGTCGAGCACTATTGGAGTAACTTTTAACTTGCAAAGTTGGATGTGGCATCTCAGCTGCGTGACACTGGTGGGAAGTAGAGGGCCAGTTAGAGGTCTTAGAAAACCACGAGACAAACAGCTTGCAGCAGACTCCAGCTTAAAAATCGATATTGTAGAAAAGCAGTAGGATGCTGTGCCCCCACTTACACAAACGATCTGTGCCTGTTTGTCAGCATAAGCCATCCTTGCGTTTGCAGCCACACTGTTGGTGTTGGTGACATCTCCTTACAAGAGCAACCAAGTGTTTGTAGCTTTGACACGTAGGAGGGTGGTGTTTGGGCCTGCTGAAAGGCACCTTTCTTCACTGATTAATGGAAATCTCCACTACTAAACTTGAGTCTTTTCATTCATGGCACCACCCTCCCCTTTTCATGGCTGTGGTTATGGTCTGTTATGAAAGAGTGTTTTGAAGGGACAAGTTTACTTTTTTAGTTTTCATAATAAGCCTAGTGGCAAGGCTCTTGAGCACTCAAGGTTGCTTTCGTAATTCAGACCAAAAAGGGCTAGGGCAGGACTCCAGGTACTAACCAGCAATAATTGAGACAAAGTTATCTTTAGGCAGTCTCTTTGGTTTTGTAGTGTATCATTTTAAATGCTTCTGACACGAGAAAAGATTATGTGTTCTGCAAAGTTTTAGGAACAGTCTAGGCGCCCTGACCTATTCCATGGTATCCGTATTTCTTATGTCAGAAACAAATGCCATTGGGTTTCAGTATCTGAGTCTGACCCTGTCTTGTATTCAGTCAAAAAAACCTTCAGTATTCATGATAAGCAAAATGAAAGTGGGAATAATCTCTAAAGACCCATTGCTAAAAGAGCCCTGACTTTTTTCTGTTAGGGAGAAGCAGAATGAAAGGCTGGCTCTTTGGGAGCCATTAAATGGTAAGCTCTGTTTTGAAGGCGCTGATGTGTTTTATAATATTTTCTCTTGGTGTTGTGTTTGCAGCTCTCGGCCTGGAACGTATCCGGTGGTGCACTGTCTCTGAGCAAGAACTTTCCAAGTGTAATGACATGAGTAAGGCCTTTGGTGAGGCTGGAATCCTCCCCACTCTGCAGTGCACAGCAGGGGGGTCAGCTGCCAACTGCACCCAGATGATCAAGGTGAGCTGTGGGGGACAGCGGTGTTATTGATTTAATTTCCCCATGTCCCTAATAATAATCCATTGGCGATGTACATGGCTCTGTGGTGAGTGTCTGACCATCCAGGCAGCCAACCATAGGCTTCTTGACACTCATGTCTCTGAAAAATCAAAGCATATACTTTTTTAAAAAGTCGTAATACTGTTCATATGAACGTGAGTGTCAGAATGGCCCCATGTCATCTGTTTGGCTGCTCACGTACGGCCAGTCATTAGAAACACAGCAAAGGTCTTAAACATTTCCTCCCAAATGCTAATCTTTGATTTGGGAATTGTCAGATTTATTTAGCAGATATTTAAGAAGGGATGGAACTATAAGATGCAGACAGTAGTTAAAGCTGTGCTGCTGAGCTTATAAGTAGATTGTATTTTGATAAACTCTGGATCAAACTCCTATTTCAGGGTCCGGTCCTGGAAATTGCTGTATATACAGATGAGATGAATGTAAAACCAAATCAAATCTCCCAACACCAGAGTACAAGAGAGAGACAAAGCAGGAAGTGGGGTGAGCAAAGGGCACGCAAACCCAGCTCTATTAATTCAACTGCCCAGAGTGTGCTCAGTTTCCAAAAGGAACATTGCTCTGGGGAAGGTTTGAAAGACTGAACATGTGGATTTGCAAAATGCTGTGTGCAAAATAATTCCCTCTTTAGGAGGTGGTAGGAGGCAAAACGTGGATATTGGAAGAAATGTGGAGGCAGGTAATCACGGCTGCCTTCACTGGCAGAGTGTGGGGAAAGGGAAGGATGACTGGCTGTGTTAATAAGTAATAATACTGTGTAGACATGCCCAAGAATCAGGGTTTTGTGGAGGAAATTAAGGCTGTCAAGGACAAGAGGTTCAGAGCAAGGAAAGGAGGTCTGGTAGAGCAGTTTGAAGGGAGATGAGGCAGATGATTGTGGCCAGATAAAAGGAACAAATTTCAAAAATTGGTATCTTGTAATTTTTGTCAACAGAAGCATAATGGCTGTCTGATTACTAAAACTACCTCATTGCCTCTTGATAAGTTCTGTTCTTGAGTGAGGAAGACTGTACTGAAGAATGTTAGGAGCAGATATTGATATATATGTGGATCTTTCCTTGGGATTAGACAAGAAATACATTCTAATGTCGGATCTTCCCAAAAGCACTCGGCTGATTGCTGCATTGCACAAGGGCACCTGTTAGACTCTGCAAAGCAGATTATTGAAAGGACTGATGATTGTCTGCTTCTGAAATACAGAGCTCCCAGAATTGCATTTATAAGCCATTGCAAGCAGCAGGCACCTTTCTAAAAACCTTGGATTCCTATAAAACTTGTTTAGCTGAACTCAGAAACCTGCAGGCAGATAGCATGAGTAAGTAGCTTTCTGATAAAATGAATTTTCGGTGTAAGGCTTCCGACAAGACTTTGTCCTTGAGACCTCTTTTTTTTTTTCTTGTGCTAATAGTAATCTACTAAATATTTAAGCTGGCCTGCTCTGGGTGGGACTGTGTGGAACCCCTGTGTCTGCATCCTCACTGAACTCTGATCTTTGAGGCCAAAAGGAGTGGGACACCACGGCTGAAGAGGCAGAGATATGTTGTTCTATAACATTCCGTAACTTGGACTTAGTCCTGTGAATGTATTAGCACATGGATAAGGGAAAAACCCTTTTTGATTGAAGGTGTTTAAAAATTGAGAAATGTCTAAATATTTAACTAGGGAACCTGACAATATTTAGTGTGACCAGAGCCGTTCTTCAACAGGTTTTCAAACACTTGTGTAGGTAATTCTCAAATGTTGTGACACACAGCAGTAAAGTTCCTCTGAAAGTAATTAATAAAGTATTACCACCACACATATACTTATTAAAAAAGTCATATGTGGAATAGTCCCCACAGTAATTGTGTGTATTTAAAGGAGAGGCCTGTAGCTTGTAAAGTAATTCATGTTTACAACATGAGGCATTTTTTGTCTTGTTCTGTTCTGCTATTTATACACAAGCTATTGATCAGAGGCTCTGCTGCTAAACAGAGCTCAAAGGCTCAGCTTTCCAATCAGAAAAGTGCTTTTTGACATGGAAATATGGCCACATAACACAGTCTTTGGCTCTGTGGCCAGCTCTTTTCATTTCATCTGCTCTATTTTCTGTCAACCACCAATTCTAGAGGCTCATTTTGTTTTCCTGAGGGTAAGATCCTTCTACCTCCCATCTTCTCTCCTTCTCACTGTTGGGTGTCCCTTCTAAACAACAGGCCATATTTGATTCCTAAGCTGTCTTGTGCTCTGCCCTTCACCAGTGGAATATCACATCTGGTTATTCCACAAAGATTGTGTCTATTCTTTAAGATGCAAATATGTCTGAGCCCCAACTCCTCTTTAGGTTCCCTTGGATTCATTCAGCACTCATTTCACGAGAAGCAACTCTCAGGACATTGATTATTTTGGCTAATTAATGAATATAATCTTTTTTCTCCTTTGAGCCAAACAAATAAAGGATTTCAAATCACATGGCAACTTCAAATCTGTTCTAGCTGTCCACATCAACATATTACCTATGCTCTCATGTGATCCCTTAAAAAATTTTCAAGCTTTTTATGTGTCTTAGCCTGTGGGAAATTGCTGTGGTGTGCTGGGCAGCACAGTCCCAGTCCTGCTTTAACTAGTGCTTTGCAACGTCCCGAGGGATGGGTGAGCTAAATTACCCCCTCCAGTGCTGAGCCAGAGGTTAAGCAAACTGATAAGAAACTTAGAATCAGCTTAGAAATGCAAAATGTCACACTGCTGATTATTTTGTCAGCAATATCTTGTCTCTGTGTGAAATGCCCTCTCCTGGCTCCCACGAGTTTCAGTACACAGTGGGAGCTGGGTTCAGCTGGCCACAGGTGTGTGTACAGCAGTTCTCTCAGCCTTGCTGCTGAGGGAAGTGTCATCCTGTGCTATCCAGAGAAATCCTGCAGCAGGATTCCAGCCAGCTTGGTGTTGCAGTCAACAGAAAAATATGGTGGTGTTGGACACCTTCCCAGCAGTGGATGCCTCAGATTTGTATTCCCCCAGTTTTGAACAGCCTTTTTAGATTCTTTCCTCCTTCTTGGAAGCACACTGCCATCTGCTCCCTCCTCTGCCTGTGCGTGGAGGTACAAGCCATTGTGCTTTAAGGTTGCTTTTGAGTACACTTTGGCATTCAGATTTTGCAGCCCCAGAAGATATTATTTTAAACTATATGTGTATGATGTCAAAACTATATTTACTTTATTTAAATCTTCAAGCTTTGGGGCACTAGCTAAAGATATGAATGAAACTCCAAATTGCTGGGCCTCAAGATTCATCACAGACCTGCAGGATCCATTTTTAAGGTCCCTTTGGACTATTAAGACTAGTGAAGCCATCATAGTACAGAGCTGGTTTCTGCATTGTTTCTGAAGGAAGGCAGTTTTGAAATGCTAAAATCCCTCTTGGTAATTATTGTTCAGAAATTTGAGTGCCCTTAAAATAACTGTTTGGAGAAAAGAAAACACACAAATGCAGACTAAGGGGCCTCCTCTTCTAAATTCAGGTGTATTCTAGCTGTTGATAAATACTGATAATTGAGTTTCAACATATATTCTGCCTTTGTGTCTGCACAGGATGATTTGGCAGATGCAGTGACACTGGATGGCCGCTCGATTTACCAGGCTGGAAGGGAGAATGGTCTGAAACCAGTGGTTGGGGAAGTATATGACCAAGGTATATTCTGACTAAATAACTTTTAGATGACTCAAAATGCACAAGAATTTACTATTTCCATTTTATTTGGGGTCCTTCCCTGTAAGACTCTAAACAGTAGGTAGTGGTCAGGTTCCTTCTTAATTGCTCCTGCCTGTAACAGAGTGTGTGGGGAAAGAGGAGATGCTAGGCTGGGGCCAAGTCTGTCCTGAAACAGTTGGGTCAGAGTAGCTGATGTGAGGCTACTTATCTTGCTTCTCTTTCTTCCTATGCTGCAGACATTGGAACTTCCTATTATGCTGTGGCTGTGGTAAAGAAGAGCTCCAACATAACCATCAACAGCCTGAAGGGTGTGCGTTCCTGTCACACAGGGATCAACAGAACTGCAGGCTGGGATGTGCCAGTGGGTTATCTGACTGACAGTGGGCGCCTGGCAGCAATGGGATGTGACCTTCCAAAAGGTAGGAGTTACAGGGCAAAGATCTGTTCTTCAGCAATGCCTTTCTGAGTGGTCTTGGGCCCCTGTACGTGGACAGAAATGTGTGGTTCAGCTGCTCTTTTGTTCCTTGACTTTGATGATGCTTGTACCAGGGAATAGACCTAATGTAGGTCTGACAAAGACTGCAGGGTTTTTGTTTTTTAAACTTGGAAACCATCTTTTAAGAAAAAAATGACTTATGCCTTCTAAATCTCTTCAGAGATGTGCTGTGTTAAAATGAGACTGTAGGATCTTGTTTTCTCATGACTAAAAAATGTCTCATTCTAATTTCGCTTTTAGCTGTAAGTGAATATTTCAATGCAAGCTGTGTTCCTGGAGCAAATGGTGTGAACTATCCCAAATCCCTTTGTGAGCTCTGCATAGGGAATTCAGCTGGAGAGCACAAATGTGAACGAAATTCCCAAGAGCAATACTATGACTACAGTGGGGCTTTCAGGTAAAAATTATGTCTCTGTCAATTTTTTTTATCACTGTTCTCTCTCTACAGACACCAGTCTAGGCTTCACTGACTAGAAATTGAAGCCATAGGGCTTCCAGTTTATCTTGCTAGAAAATCTGCAGTTTTGTTAGGACAACCACGCTTTTAACCTAACTGAGCAAAAGTAATTCTTAACCCACTATTTCAAGTATTAATACCTGAGTATTAAAACCAAATGGATATTTAGCACATATATGAGGCAGGAAAAGCTCTATTTGCTGTTTGTTTTGTCCAGCAGCTGTTGACACAATCAGAGTGTTTGTTTCATCAGACTTTACTGACTTTATCTTTCCCAGTAAAACCTGATGGCCCTTAGAGTCTGAGAGCTGAACTGTTGCCCTACTTGGTTATCTCAGTCATCCCACCTCAGTGGCACTGAATTATTGACTTGCTCTGCCTCCATTTTTGCACATCAATCCCTTATTTTCCTCTTTTCTGTCTGTGTGCTGTGTTGGAGCTCCCAGTCCCTGAGTAATAGCATTAACTGAGCAAGGGCAGAATTTGCTTACAAGAAACACTTGCTCCTTGTTCCTTCCTGCACATTCCCCAAAGGATTGTGTGACTGCCTTAGACAGAGAAACTGTCGTGGACAAAAAAGGTCATGGTGTTTGTCCCAGGCAGCACTGAACATGTTGTCCATGTTCACCAAATGACAATGATAGTTTACTTCATGCTCTAACAGCCACTAGTCTCTGCCTTGAGCAAAACTCTCAGCACAAGGAAATAGGTCAGTGTCTGTGTCTGATGGAACGGAGCACAGAGCCCTCGGGCTGTCGGCAGTGGCCAGTGCGGAGCTGGGTTTTGTAATGCATCTTTGTGCTTGGATTTATATCTATTAGGTGTTTGGCTGAAGGTTCTGGAGAGGTTGCTTTTGTGAAGCACAGCACAGTGCCTGAAAATACAGATGGTGAGTAATCCTGAAGCTTGTTGAATAATGGCTGCAAGGTCTGAAATACAGTGTCTGTAATGACAGTATAATATCAAATGTTTGATGTATTTTGAATTGAGGAATCAGCAAATAAATACTGTGGTAGTGAAAACATGTACCCACAGAGGTGTGCACCAGGAGACAGAATCCATGGGATTTTTTTTTTTTCTTGATAGTTTCAATAAAGGTTATAGGTGGAATCTTAAGCTACTTTTGGAAAGAGAATTTCAACAGCAGTAAATTATTTTTATATAGACCTGGGCTGTTACATTGCTCCAGCCTACCAAGGGATTTCAGCAGAGAGTAGCAGAAAGTAAACAACAGGTTACCTGCCCTATCTGGCACTATGTGAAAACCACCTTGAGCATATTATTGCTTTAATATCATGGACCTGTCTGACCCAGGGGAAAGAAAAACCAAAAAAATGTTGCCCATGATCCTAAACTTACAGATGCTCTTGATACTGCTGCAGACCCCAGTACAGCTCAGTGCAGTCTCACAAGTGTTAAGCTGTCAGTTGTCTCATCAGACGTAAAGAACTAAAGGACCCCAAAGGTGCACGGGGTGTGTTGTGCAGTCAGGAATAGCTCAGAGATGCTCAGGAGGTGCGTGTCCTGCTCCACGTGTGCGAGTGATGTTTAGAGAAGGCTTGGAGCCAGGAGCATCAGCCCCACCTGAGGTCTGTTCCATAAGCATGTCCTCTCTGATTTCAGGAAGAAGTTCTTTCTTGTGGGCCCAGCGGCTTCGCTCCCGGAACTTCCAGCTCCTGTGTCGCGACGGCAGCAGAGCTGAAGTGTCAGAGTGGAGAACCTGCCACCTGGCCCGAGTCCCAGCTCGCGCCGTGGTTGTGCGGCCTGACACAGATGGAACAGTTGTCTTCCACCTCCTAAACCAGGGACAAGTAGGACACCATTTTTTCATCACTGTGTTGCATTTTAGAAGGGTTCTCCCACCCCTCTTGGTGAACTGAAGACAGGATATCTGGGCACCTTTGGATCTGTGGGGTTTGAAGGGGTATGGGATGTCACAGATCCCAGGCAGAGGGATGTCTGACAGGTGCTTTTTTCTTCTTTAATATTACAGCAAAGATTTAATGGGGTGGGTGCCAAGTTTCAGATGTTTGACTCTGCAGCCTACGGTGCCCAAAATCTTCTGTTCCGAGACTCCACGACAGAGCTTGTTGCAATCACAGCTCAGAATTATCAAGCATGGCTGGGTGATGAGTATCTTCATTCCATGCAAGCTCTGAGCTGCGACCCCAACAGTAAGTTGTCTGTAGATTCCTACTTATAACCAAGAACAAAGATAGGTGATAGCAGAGATCATGTTCATTCTGGTTTTTCTCCTCACTCTTGGAGGGTTATGGCAAGATGCCAGTCTGATCTTTGAGCTTGCAGAAAGGTCACCTTTTGATAGAAACAATATCACATTGCAGAATACTTTCCCGTGCAAATTGACACGCTCTGTGTGTTATAAGATCAGGCATTTTTTATCCTTTCTGGTATATGGAGACATTAATCTGGTAAACTGCTACTGTTACTTGGTACTTAATTTCTTACCTGCTGACAAGGGAAAATAATAATGCACTGCTGCACAAATCCTCAGGTAGTCTATAAAAATGTATGAATGGGTTCCTAGCAGAGGATTTCCTCCAGAAGCTGAAGGAAATCCTCAGTTGCTCTTTACTGAAGCGTTATGGTCTTTCCTACTATCAGAAGAAAGTAGAAATTACTTGATATGCCTTCTGGGAAAGTCAGAAAGACAGGTTGTAAGAATCTCTGCCTTAAGAAGTTTAATAATCCTGCACTGAGCCTCCAGACACGCTCTGACTGTGGCAAAGCCCCTCACCTTGCAGACTTGTGTCTTGTGGGCGCTGCTCCGTGACTGTCAGGTGTGAGGAAGTCTGTGTTCAGGGGCACTTTTTGATGCACTCAAATAACACATTATGGCTGTGCTTAATGGTCAGCAATTGTAGAAGTTGTTGTTCCTTTGCTATGGATGGGTTTGCAGTGTGAACATAACTGCTAATCTGGAGTGCCCTGGTTCCTGATCAGGTGGAAGTCTGAGCTGGAGGGATGGGGAGCAACACAGAAGCAAACATTTTCCATAACATGTGATGTGGGATGTGTAACGGGGCAGCGTGAATCCCTCCTTGTCTATTGAAAAGAAAGTGAATGTATTATTTGCTTTTTAATTTTGTGCAGCCTTGCCAGAAAGCCTGAATTGGTGTGTTGTATCCACTGAGGAGATTTGGAAATGTGGTGAAATGGCTGTTGCCTTTAGGAAAAAGAATTTGAAACCAGAAATTCAGTGTATTTCAGCCAAGACAAAGGAAGAGTGCATGGAGATGATCCAGGTAGGCTGCTATAATCCTTGTGCAATAAACCAAATGAACAGAAACTGCTCCCTGCTGGGTTAGAGATACCTGTGTGACCAGTAGGAACACTGGATTTCAAGGAGGTAGCTCAGGTGGTATGGATGGGCCTGAACCCTGATGATCTTCCGCTGTGATGAGGGCACTGTTGCTCATCTAACTGAAGCCTGTATGTGTGAAATCTCCTGTCATTGTTTCACTGATGATGCTTCATGCACATTTTGGAAGTTTTCTTTAGCAGTGTATTGCTCTTTTGCTGTAAGCCTTGCCCTTCAAGGTCCAACAAGTGTGATGCTCAAGGTGTCATTGTTGTAGTGGGGAAAGTATCTGCTGTTTTTTCACAGAAATCCTACATTTTCTTATATTTTTCAGAAAAAGGAAAGTGATGCTGTAGTTCTGGGTGGAGCTGATATTTACACAGCTGGGAAGACATATGGCCTTGTACCAGCTGCTGGAGAAAGTTACTCTGGTAAGAAGGTCGGGAAACATAAATATAGACCTTATTTTTCCAGGTTGTTTGAAAACAGCTCTAAAAGCATAGCCCTTTGTCCCTAGCCCTGCTGGGAATGCTGTTTTCAAATACATGAGAATTATTACCCCCACATCATGGATAGATGAGGAAATAAGTATGAGATGAGACTTCTACAGTGAGTCAACTTTTATCTGTCCTGCTGCAGGACCAGGTTGAGTCTTTGACAGTTTTGAATCTTGGAGTTCTTTATTTGTCTTTTCAATTCTGCAAAAAAATATTTACAATGGAAAAAAGTAGTATTCACAAAGTCAAAATATTTTTAACAGAAACAAAAATACAGAAATTACACAGTGGATTCTAGTTAAAAGCAAATTCTTCCTGTCAATATGGCTGCTTCAGAGTCACCAGTGAAAAGTGGCCTTGTGTCCATGATGTCACTTAAGGTAGAGTTTCAATATTATGCAAAACTCATTGATGTTTTAATACAGGTTTGAGGTTTTCACATAAAAATAACTTCTTAAAGCAGATTTGCTAAGTGACTAATGACCCAAATGTTGTTTTTCAGAGGGATGTATTTGTAAGAGCTAGCATTAACAAGAACACTTTCCTGTCTGTCTCTAGTTTATTCAGCTCAGGTGCAGCAGTGCCAGCTTACAGGCTATAGGTGAATGCAGCAGTGTGAGGTAGTAGAAGTGAAGAGTAATTCCATGTGCATCCATACTTCCTGACTAGCTGAATGTTGGTGCAATTAAGTTGGCACTGATAAGAGTAATGAATCTGTAGATGATCACTAAGCAGTGGAAATGCTGAAGGGATGCTGTAATGTGTTGTGTTTTTTTTTCTCCAAGCTAATGACAGCAGCAATGCATACTATGCTGTGGTGTTAGTGAAACGAAATCTGTCCAATGCATTCACCATCAGTGACCTGAAAGGGAAGAAGTCCTGCCACACAGGACTGGGGAGAAATGCTGGATGGAATATTCCCATTGGCATACTAATTAAGAGGGGGATTATTAAGCCCAGAGACTGTAATATTCCTCAAGGTAAGACAACAATACTACATATCAAAAATACAGTAATACTTTAATGATAAACTTTAATTAGGCAAGTAAATTCGATATTTCATAGCTCTGTATTAACCATATTTGTTTGCGAATGAGTATTGTGTTTTTAATATAACAATTTGAAATTTTAAGTTTGCCACCAGAGAGGACTAGTGGAGGGGTCTAACTGAGAATGTTACATCTAACACAAAAGTATTCCTTTCCTTTATCAAAAAATCAGTGGTTACTTCAGGTTGGACAGGACCAACTGCTCAAAGCAGATCTGATAGTCCAGATTGCTCAGTGCTGTGTCCAGGGAGGTTCTGAGTAACTCTTAGGATAGAGATTACATACATCATCTCTGGACACTGTCCTAGTATTTGACCATCCTTGGTATAAAGAGTTTTTTTCTTGTACCTAATCAGAATTTCCTTCCTGTCACTTTGGTTCTGTTACTTCTCATCCTTTTGCTCTGCATCCCTGAGAAGGATCTGTCTTTGTCTTCCTGAGAAACCTGCTATGTGAATGAAGACAGCAATACAGTGTTAGTTGTCTTATCTCCAGGCTGACCAAACCCACTTCTCAGCCTGGTAAGTGCAAGTTGTGCTCCAGCCTCTGAGCATCCCACTCTCCTCCTACCATATTTGCTCTGGAATGTCCATGTCTTTCTAGCACTGGGAGCTCAGAACGTGGCACAGATGTCAGAGGAGAACCACTGCTCCCTGACTGCTCCATTAACACACCCCAGAATGCCATGAGCTTTCATAGGCACAAAACCATGCTGATGACTCTTGATCAACCTGTTGTCCACCAGGATCCCCAGATCCCTTTTTTATACAGAGCTGTTCTTCAGCCTGCCAGCCTTCCATGTTCTTACCCCATCCTAAAAGCAGGATTCTGCATTTGCCTTTGTTGGACTTTGAGGTTCCCGTCAGCCTGTTTCTCCAGCATGACCAGACCCATCTCAATGGCAGTCCTGGCCTCAGTGTATCAAAATGCCAAAGTTTATTCCAGCTTTCAGAAATGCATTTGAAGAGTCCATTGCTTTTTGTGTTCAATTAACTTATTATCTTGTCTTGAAAATCCTGCTTTCACACCTGACTGCCTTGGTTTTTGCTTGAGGATATTGACCCAAATCAGATATCAGTAATAGTCATAGAAAACACAGATGTATCCCTCTAGAAAGTAATTCCAGCTCTGGGATATCATTGCAGTAAATGATGTATCTCTTCATCTCTGTCTGGAATTTTATTATGTTATTTTCAAAGTGCATTAGGTAGTGAAGCAATGTAGCACAACAAGAAAGGGATCTGTTACCATAGAACTCCAGGTTCTAATTTTGCTTGCCCTATTTCCTATCTATCTCCTGGGAAGCTCTTTGGTTTCATTACCTAGTCAGCTAAACAGTGCTTTGAAAATATCTTAGAAGTTCTAGTTTGTGAATTCCAGTAAGGCAGCTGTAACTCCTATTTCTAGTGTTCTACTGAAACCTGCATTGGTTATAACTTCATGATGGTATAACTGCTTGTTTTTGTGAAGAGTCCACACTTTTCACTACTTGTGTTGGTTTGTCTTTCCCCAGCTGTGAGTGAGTTTTTTTCTGCCAGCTGTGTGCCTTCAGCTGAGCAGGACAATTACCCATCAAAACTCTGTCAACTCTGTATTGGGGACGAGAGTGGAAACAATAAATGCAGTGCAAGTAGCCGAGAGCGTTATTACAGCTACAGTGGAGCCTTCAGGTAACTCATACATGTGGTTGTTATTTGTCAGTTTGTCAAAATGCAAGGAGGACCTAGTTTCCATCCCAGTGAGCAAACATGTGCTACAGCATGTGCTGTAAATGAGGTGGAACATGTGTCCCCAGATGTCTTCCCCAATACAGGTCACTAGATCACGTCCAAGCCTTTTGCCACCTTCCTGTTCTGCAGACAACCAGACTAACAGCCCAACCCATCTTTCTGTGTACACAGCACCCACCCAGTGAGAACCAAAGAGATTGTCATCAGTCTCCAGTTTTGCTTTAATCTAGTGCAGACAATCTGCAACTCTGAGTGGGCAGGTCATCCATAGAGAACTCCAGCAGGGAAGCGGGCACACAGTAGCCAAGATCTGGCTGCTGTTCGTCCATGCAGAGAGTGACAGGCTAGTGGCAGGGACCCAGGAGTGAGTGTTCACTACTGATTCATTGGTGACTGTATTTGAAAGTAGATTTCTGGACAGCACAAACAGCTATGGCCAATGTTCAATTACCAAATCCTCTTCAAAACAAAATATGTTAAAAATACAGGAGGAAAATAGTGGAATAAATAGTGGAACAAAATGTAATAAATACATTGTGTTACTGTATACATGTACATATGGGGCCATACTCAAGGACTGTGAAACTCTTGGATATGGAACAAGCACTTCCTTTTCCTGACCTTCACCTCTGAAGGTAATGGTGCATGTAACAGCTGGCAGAAAGCCATCTTTTTCCTTCAGAGAGGAGACTTCAACAGCAGCTGCCTAGTAAATAGTGAAGTGCTAGGCTTAGATAACTACTTTTTGCAAACCTATTTAGTTGTGTCCAGCTGCTGTGCTGTGGTACATGCCTTGCAGGCAAACTCCAGATCCTCTGCTGTACTTCGTGGAATAACAGAGCCGGCTCCCAGTCAGCAGATAAATGAGCAACAAATGCCATTACAGGCTGTATGAGCCTTGTTCATATTCTAAGCCTGTGCCTTTGATAATAGTGCCCATACAGTCAAACTTTATACGGAAATCACTTTTTGGTTTTAATAGAGAAGATGTTTAATTCATTGAGTGATGTGCAAAGTTTTAGGTGTTTAAAAGGTTAGGATTTGGGTGCAAAAATGGAGGATCACAGTCTTCTACAAGGTAGGGGTGGGTTTGGCTCTGACACTTAGGTGATCCTCTCTGAAAGAAGACTGAGTTACGGAGGTAATTGAGATGAGCTTAGAATTCACCTCCAGATTTTCTTCAACTCTGGCTGTCTTCAGACTAACTAGACTAAAAGTATGAGAAGGCATTCAGTTTGTGTATATCCCATTGCCTTGGGCAAATTAAACTGTGCAGAGTAGTGAAAAATCTGTCAGGAACAGCTTTTTCTGATGGGGAAATGCACTGAACAGCACCTGCTGAGTCCTCATTCTCTGCATGACAGTGTCAGCCACAGGGCGATAAGACCTTTGATTATAACTGCTGATGTTAAACCAGGTGCAATTGAAATATATGTATTTTTGGTAACTGTTAGCAGTGATAACTTTCCCTCACATTTTGTACTGCATAAGCCATGCACAGTTACAGCTTTACATTATTCGATTGGTGAGTTTAATTATCTTGTTTTAAAAAGTGCTTCTGGAAAACATTTGTAGAATAAACTGCAAGGTACCACCATTGAACTGTTACCCACAGATCATCTGCCACCACACACTGCCCAAAATACCTGGGAAGATAGATCTTTTTTGCTAGTTCACCCAGCTCACTGTTTTGAGGTCGATGTTATTTATGTATTTCTTACTGAGTGGAGCAATTACCGTGCATTTCTCCTGTCTGTTGACTTCATATTTCAGGCTTAACACAAAAATCTCTGAACAGCCTGTGGTGCCTGTTGCACTCTGCACTAGAGAACACCACAGGGTAACATGCTGGTAAAGGTGTGTGTTCTACACCTCTGCCCTGGCACTCTCTGTAGTGGGATATCACACTCATAGGAGAGGAGGGGACTTTTGGGGTGCCCTTGGCATGTTGGGCTGCTCCTTCAGAAAATTAGAGGAAACTGAAGGGTCTGGAACAGTGCCCTTAGCAACTGCAGTTAGATTAACTGGAGATCTCTAATGTACAGGGCTGTAAATGCTGCACTGACTATCACATAATAGGTCTTCTATTTCTTTGCTCATCTAATACTGGCCTTTTCTGTTGTATCTCACACTGTTTTTAATACCATTTTTCTACTGTATTCCTCTCTTAAAATTCTTGATTCAGAATATTTTTTTTAATGCTTTGCAAAGATGTTGCTTTTCCCTCCTTTCAAGATGCCTAATTTCTCTGTTTTTTCTTATTACCTTTGGGTCCAGTACATTTTTTTGCAGGAATGTATGTAAGAAAAATTGTATTCTAAACCTATGAGTTTTATAAAAAATGTGGTTCACATAAAGATGCTTTGAATTGAATTTATATCTTTGACTTCCTTTAGGTGCCTGGCAGAGGACTCTGGGGATGTGGCCTTTGTGAAGCACTCAACAGTGTTTGAGAACACAGACGGTACTTACTTTTACACAGCTTTTTATTATAATTCATTATTTTCTCTTGCTCTAAAGCATTCAATGAGTGACAATGACCAGCTTCTTTTTTTCAGGTAATAACACTGATAGTTGGGCCCAAAACTTGAAGTCCAGTGATTTCCAGTTACTGTGTCCAAATGGTGCCCGTGCTGAAGTCACCCAGTTTGCTGACTGTCACCTGGCTCAGGTGCCAGCTCAAGCCATTATGGTTCACCCAGATATCAACGTTTTTGCTCTGTATGGACTACTGGACAAAGCCCAGGTATTAATAATCCATTTATTTTAGGGGGGAGTCTTATATGGTCTAACACAGTTCAAAGATAAAGACAACAAGGACCATTCTACCATATCATGGGACTGTGCAGAGGCCTGTTGTTGGGAGTGTGACAGAGAAGGTAAAATACAACCCATGTCATTCTCCCAGTAAAACCACCCTGGTGCACAAGGGATTTCAACTTTTTGCCCAGCCACTGGTTGCAGTAGTAATTTTCCTGGAGCTTAAGGTATTTTCCCATGCCTTTTCCATGTTTCTGCATGACTTTGAGGTCTACAGGGAATAGAGTACATGCTAACACTTTTCCATTCTGGAATTTTCCTAGGAGTGCAACAGAACACTGCTGGATATATTTATGCTGCAGCTTGTACAGGGTGAGCCATCTGCCTGGCTGCTTCAGAGAGGTTCTTCTCCATACTGAAGTTAACTTGTTCAAAAGCAATACTGAGTATCTCCATGCTAGGATTCAGTCATTTCTGTAACTCCTGGGCAGACAAACCCTACATTACAGAACAACATTTAGGCAGAAGAATTTTTTTTTAAAACTACAGCTCTTTCCAGATAGTAACTAAAAAACCAGAATCACAAATGCTGTTCTTGTAATTGCCTGTGGCAGAATTCTGTTTCTAATCTACTGGAGCGTCTAAAAGCAAACACGTAAGAGATTCTGCAATTGTGTATGAATTTTTCATCTACAAAACAGTTCCTACTGTCTTTCATGTTGAACAGGAGGAATGTGGCACTTAATCTTGCAAAATACTGAAACCTTTCCATTATTTTCAGGTCTACTTTGGAAATAGCAGCAATGGAAATGGATTCAAAATGTTTGATTCTTCAACTTTTCAAGGAAAAAACTTGATCTTTAAGGATTCAGCTGTTGAGATTGTGCCATTACAAGAGAAGAGAACATACACAGAATGGCTGGGGAGTGAATATGTTGAGTCCCTCGAAGGGATGCAAATACCACAGTGCTCTGGGGCAGGCAATAAGATAACACAGTACTCCTTTGTGGCTGCAGTCATTCCCCTTCTTGTGTTGTGTCAGATACAAGGCTTGGACTAGGACGGTTCAAATGGCAACTTCCAGGCCACCTCTGCCCGACCACCTTCTCTTCAGAAAAGCTGTTTGGATAATGTGCTGTGCTAACATTTGAATGCCTCTTCCTGCCTCTTGCAGGGCAAGTGCCAACAGCACCTGCTCATCAGGAGAGTGGGATGGGGCTGGAAGCTGCCCTGTCTGTGTGGATAGGGTGGAATTTGTGGCAGAAGCCAGCAATACAGTATCAACATGGTTTACAAGATCAGTCCAAACCTGGAGCATCTCTGCCATCGTTGCTAATGTTGAACCATTCAGGATTTCCAAGTACTGTTAGATGGATACTGGGTTTCTGACCTGTAGAAGAATTTCTGCATGTTGGAAGGCAGTATCAAAAACCTTGTCTAGTGAATCCTCTCTGGTTTCTTGGCTGGTTAAGTTCAGACTCCACATCCCTGCTTAACCCATCCTACCCAGTTCCTCCCGAGTTCTGCTGCCATAGAGGTAAGTGCACAGAGGATGGACAGGCTGTGGACAGAGACCAGTCTAGAATACAGCTGAACAACTGTGGACAAAGTCTTCCACCCTCCAGTAGAAGGAAGTAGGGGAAATTTCCAAAGACACTGGACAAAAAAGAAGCCCAGAGAGACTTGGAGGGGACTACCTGTTGACAGAGAAAAGGACAAATCCATATGTGAGCATCCACTGAGCTTGTTGACTTTACCACACCCAGTACTCACAAGATATCCTGTGATCTTTAATCTGATGCAGTCTAGTCTCCATCAAGAACCTTGTGGCTCTCCTCCTTCCACACAGGGCTCTCCTGAGTGCCCTTGCATGAAACTTGTATTTGCTGTAGGTGAAACAAAAGTACTTCACTTCTGAGTAACCATTTCTGTTTCTACTGGCTGTAGAATGTGGATTTTATTTTTATCCATAGCTGCACTAACCATGAATGTTACTGTGCTGCTGGCAGGCACTGTCTTCCTACCTGCCTCATGATCCTGGGATGAACAGACATTCAGTTTAAAAACAGATAATTATCATGTAAATAAGTGAAAATAACAAATAAATATGAGAAGTAATTACACTTTAACCAAAATGCAGCCTGATAGCTAAACTACTGCTTTTCTGGGATATGAACATTTGTGTTTCCCCTTTGCTGCCCACCATTCTATTGCTCCCAGGTTACCAGAGCTGGAGGAGGAGAGACCCAGCCCAGTCTCCAGCTGTGCCAGATGGGATGAGCGTGTCTGTGGCAGGGATTTGTGACATGGTGCCTGCTGCCCAGACCCACAATTACTGGCCAGCTGCCTCCAGCTGCTGTCACTGCTGTGTTCCTTCTCTCTGGGCTTTTGGTCAGTTATGAAATAGCCGGCTGAACAGCAGCCAGCAGTGTGCCCAGGTGGGCAAGAATGCCAATGGCATCCTGGCCTGTATCAGGGATAATGTGGCCAGCAGGACCAGGGAAGTAATTATATTCCCTCTGTACTCTCTACTATGGCACTGGCGAGGCCACAGTACTCAAGTACTGTGTCCAGTTCTGGGCCCCTCAATTTAGGAAGGACACTGGGATGCTGGAGTGTGTCCAGAGAAGAGCAACAGAGCTGGGGAAGGAGCTGGAGCACAAGTCTGATGAGCAGTGGCTGGGGGAGCTGGGGGTGTTCAGCCTGGAGAAAAAGAGGCTCGAGGTGACCTTGTCACTCTCTTCAACTGCCTGAAAGGAGGTTGTAGCCAGGTGAGGGTCAGCCTCTTCTCCGAGGTAACAAGCAATAGGACAAGGGGACTTGGCCTCAAGCTGTGCCAGGGGAGGTTTAGGTTGGACATTAGTCAGAATTTTTTCACTGAAAGAGTGATTAGACATTGGAATGGACTGCTTAGGGAGGTGGTGGAGTCACCATCCCTGGAGGTGTTTAAGGAAAGACTGGATGAGGCACTTAGTGCCATGGTCTCGTTGACATGGTGGTGTTTGGTCACAGGTTGGATTCGAGGGGTCTCCAAGGTGGCCCCGAGATGGCTTAGTTGGCCACAGCGTGTTGCTGACACCACTGACCTTGGGGCTTTGATCCCCATATGGGCTAGTCTTTTAAGAGTTCAACTCATTTAAGAGTTGGACTCGATGATCCTTGTGGGTCCCTTTCAACCCAGCACATTCTGTAGGGGGTGTGATTCTTCCCAGCGCAACCCACCCCATGATTCCCTGGATTTCAGCCGGCGGGGCGGCTGATGGGGGGATCGCTGCGCATGCGCGCGGGGCTCCCGCTGCGGCGGCTGTGCCGGCGGGCGGGCGCCCCCTGGCGGCGCGGGGGCGGCGCGGGGCCGCCATGGGCGCGCGGGCGCTGTGGGCGCTGCTGGCGGCGCTGAGGGCGGGCTGGTGCCTCCTGCCGCAGAGCGGGTACCTGCACCCCGACGAGTTCTTCCAGGCGCCCGAGGTCATGGCAGGTAAGGGGCGCGGATAACGCGGGGGGACCCCCGGGCGCGCTGCCTCGCACAGCCCCGCGGATGCGGGGGATGCGGAGCCCCGGGCAGGGGCGGGTGTTCCCGAGGGATCCCCGGAGCCGCCGGCTCGTTGTCCCGCTCTGTCACACGGCGCTTCCCGCAAGCCGGGCAGGAGCGGGTCCGCAGGGCTGGGTGGGCGGTGGGTTCCTGCTCTGTGCTGTCCACACCGAGTGGCGCCTGCAACCGCATCACCCCGACGAGCTGCTTTTTCCTGATTCTCTGTGAAAACGAACGGTACACTCCTAAAACCGTCAAGGTTGACACCAAGGTCTCAAAAGTCTGGGAGCTGCTCTGCATTGTGATGCCTCTGACAGCAAATAGTATCCCTACTGCTGAATTACTGAATAAAATGTATTATGTATTATATGTATTTTTCTTTTTCTCTTCCTTTATAGGAGATATTTTAAATCTACAGGTCTTTTATCCTTGGGAGTTCCTTTCGAGCTTTCCTTGCAGAACAGTTGTTTTCCCATTAATGACATCAGGAGTTACCTACTGGGCAGTCAAGTCTTTGCAGCAGCTGGACATATGTTCAAGTTGCATCAACAGCTACACTCTCCTTGTATCACCTCGCCTTCTCTTTACAATCTTTTCTTTCATGCTCGACTATAGCGTTTATCGATTAGCCCCTTTCTGGGAAGCAGATCTTTGGAAAGCGCTGGTACTTCTTGCTGGATCATATGTCACTCTGGTGTTTTATATGAGAACATTTACCAACACGCTTGAAGGACTTCTCTTTGCTCTTCTCATGGTACTGGTTTCCTCAAGAAAGTCCAATGGCAGCTCAGTGGAGCCTACAAGCAGTCCTCTCATAGGTGTTATAACAACTGCTGGGTTTTTCAACAGGCCAACCTTTCTGGCATTTGCTCTAATGCCCCTGCTTTACTGGGCAGGTTTAATTGTTGATTCTCAGAGGAGCATTAAAAGTGTCATAAACCACTTTTTGAAGCTCATACTATGTGCATGTTTTACTGCCATTGTTTTCATAACAGCTGACACCTTTTATTTTACCTCTGTGAGCTTAGATAACCTTTTAAGCATTAACAAGGGCAGCCTATTTGATGTAATAGTTCAATTACATAAGAAAATGGTAGTAACCCCCTTCAATTTTCTCAGTTATAATCTTAATCCTCATAATCTTGCACTGCATGGAAGTCACCCACGAGTTACACATTTTACAGTCAATGGAATAATGCTCTTTGGGATCTTACATGTTCTGGCCACTGTTGCTGGTTTTAAAATGTTAAAGAAGTATGTCCAGCAATTCATACGGGTCAAATCGTGTTACCATGGGCTGTCTGGGCTATTGGTGCATTCTGAGGGCAATCCAACATTACTGCTGTTTTATTTTGTTCCTTTGGCATTTCTCTCCCTATTCAGTCACCAGGAGCCTCGGTTCCTCATTCCTCTCATCTTGCCCTTGGTCCTGTTCAGTGCGTCACAGGACAGAGCTGTGAAATGGAAACACCTCATCATTATTTTCAATCTTCTCGGGGCATTCCTGTTCGGGTGCCTACACCAGGGAGGGCTGATACCCTGTTTGTTTCACTTGGAGCAGCTCATACATTCTCCAGCACCCTCAAACCATCCAAGGCACTATACTCTACTCTTTGCTCACACCTACATGCCTCCGAGGTTTCTGCTTAATATCAAGAAGACAGACGTGCACGTACAAGTCATCGATATGGCTGGGTCTGGAGAAGAAACCCTCTGCCAGACAATAGAGCAGCAAGCAAGCAATTTTACCTGCAGCGACTGTCACATTTTTGTCATAATCCCTGGTACAGTCAGAGCCACAACTGCAAAATGTGGTGTCTCATTCAAGAACGAAACTGTGATATTTCCACACTTATCAATGGAAGACCCACCACAAATGTCCATCCTATCCAGTGGAAATTGGAGAAGTCAGTTAGGACTATACATCCTTCAACTAGACAGAGATCAGCACAGCCTTTAGATTTTAGGAGAACGATGTTTTAGGTTTTCACATCATTTGGGCACAGTCTGAAGGTGCTGTGAGACCTTCCTCTTCACAGGCCCACCTTCATCACAAGTAGTGGCACTGGGAGCTCTCCTGAGTCTCTTTATTTGTCATGTTCTTATGCTCACCGGTATAGCCAGTTCTGGATAGAATCTGCTTAGAATTTGAGTTATTCAGCCCTGTAGTGTTTCATATGAACTTCTGTAATTTTTCCTGATGAGAGAGGATGAAATCAGAGCCCACCAAAACTGATTCAAGCTTAGCAGTTTCCATGTGAGATTTATTTTTGGAAGTTTCTATAATCTCTGACAGGGTTTGTGGACTGTGGGGTGTTTACTAATTATAGGCATTAAATCAGCTGTTGGAGAGAGGTTACAGGGTTAGACAGAAGCTGGTCTGATTAAATAAGATTTTATTTTATGTACTTAAAAATTCATTAGACCAGACTGCAGTCACAGTACAGGCACCAGCACTGTAACCCTGTCTTGGGTGGTTCTGCCTTGAAAAATCCCCAGCACTGATCTGAGAGAATCTGATTTAGAACGTGGAAGATGCTTCAGCCTAAGTACTTGTGCTAAATCCTAAAATCCAAGCTTTGCCTGTTTAACTTTCCTTGCCACAGTTCCATCCTCGTGGACGTGTTCCACACGCACTGCCCCCAGAGCTCGAGGAGGCTCTTCTGTGATGGCATCGAAGCCTCTCGGTGTTTCGCCGCTGCAGCCGGGGCGCTCCTGCCCTTGCACATCCCCGGCGCCGTTCTCGCAGCTGTCGCTGTTCTGTCGCGACTGTGACTCCGGCAGAGCGCACGGCGGTCCCTGCGGGGAGCTGGATCGAGGAGCTGCGCAGACAGAAAGCGGGTAACTCGGAGGGATTTGATCCTTTGTGCCGTTTGAGCAGATGGATCTCTGAACAGGCTCACGGCAGGGTCGGAGATCCACCAGTTCTGCCGGAGAGCGCGGGAGGACCCGAGGGAGGAGCCTCATCCCCTGCACCCCCTCCCCTTGCTTAACTGCTCCCCATTAAATCAGCTTAGTGGGAATGACAGGTCACATCCTGGCTCTCCACGGGAGAGCAGTCTCATTTTCAACTGGGATACAAATAACTGGGCTTCAGCTGAGAACGATGTGTGCACATAATAGCACAGCACAACTAACAATCTTTGGGTTTGCCTATGTGAACTTCTGGATCCAAAACATCTTCACATGGAGGGAGATACTAATTTGGCACATGCATTGTAGGTCAAGCCGCTCTCTATGGAACGAATCTGACACTTGAATTATTTCTGCTCACAAAGGTGGTAATGCCTTTGGCAGTTCTGCACCCACACAGCTTTACATAAGGTCTTATGAGCCAGGTTTTCAATAGAGATGAGGATAATATAGGTTGATGCCAAGCTCTAAAGGGATGCTAGGAAAAATGCATGTGTGAAGGGTTTGCCTGTATTTTCCAAACTATAGGTATGACCTAGATTTTTAGGGAACGTAGCTCTTGCTCTCTTATAAAGCATTGTGTGTTGTTTCCCCTGTATGTTCATCCACATCCATCACTCTTCATTGCTGACATGCCTGTAATTAAAGGTGGGTGTCTGGGGGGAGGCAGGGGGAGAGGGAGTGCATGTATGT